AGTGACTGGCTTACAAGCTTTCAAGAGGGCACCTAGATCCAGAGGGCCTGGAGGAAGGTAGAATCTCCACTGAGTAGTATCCAATCTGTCTAGGTGGGGCTGATGAAATGTGGATGGGTCTCTTGTGGTACAATAGTGAATAAACTGTTATCAGGACTAATTGTGAGGGTTGGAAATGTAAAGGTAGATGTTTTATAGCAAGGTGGGGAGTGGTTAACATTCCAGTCTAGGAGCGGAGGTCCCTGGGACCATCAATGGAGAAGAGCGGAGAGTGGGACCCTACCCAGAGAAGCAGTGATGTCTGAGATGGAGGCAGAGACAATGACGTGGAGAGATGGAGCAGCTGGGGACTTTAGATCCAGAGAGGGAGAGGGACTGTGTGCTGAAGACTGGGGCCTTGTGGGGAGCAGGCTTGCAGGGTATATCCTTTGGTTGGTTGATGATGCATGGAGGGGATTGTAACCATGGCAAGGAAATGATATACGATAGAATAAATGTAAAATTAATATTCTCCCATGTAAACTATCACATAATTCACAATAAAACATTTTTAAAAAAAGAATATATTTATAGGTTAACAAAAATGACGTGGAAGAAAACATTGATACATTTATGAAAAAGTCACTGAAAACACCTAACTTTTCTGTATGGAGTTAAATCCATGCCCTACGAAAAAAAATATATGTACACATACAAAGTAGCTATTTTACATTTAGTAGAATGCCCTGTACCATTCCATTAATGTTTCAGAGCAAAATATAATTATAGAACTTGGGATAGAGTTGTTCACATTAAAATTTGGTCATCAAGCAGGTAAGAGGAGCTCTGTGTGGGAGGTGCCAAAAACCCAAAGAAGGTACTTTTACAGAGCTGCTCCAGGGCTCTGGATCTAGTATGAGGTGTAGATCATAAGTTTTCCAAACCCACTGGTGGAAAAAACAATGTATAAAGGAAAATACAACAATTCCGGAATCAATCAGGGCTCAGGACTCTGCCTGCAGAATACTCCCGCCCAGGCTGAGTTCAGAGGGCTGGGGGGAACTCTACACATTTTTTTCTCCTCTTCCCTGTCATGCCCTCTCTGCCCAGGCCAGCCACATTCAGGCAGGAGGTCGCACACCCCCAAAGGGTCCAGCACTGAACACACAGCTTTCCCATAGCACACAGAGGAGGATGCCCATTGGTCCCATTGACTGACCCTTAGGCAGCTGCTTATGACTTCTGGCTCTGGTACTCAGCTCTAAAGTTGCCCTGGGTGGGAGCCTTTACTCCTGCCATTGGTCAGACAGCAACATTTGGTTTTTATTTTGGAGAGGGGGTTTTTTTCTCTGCTTTTATATCGCTTCTGTTTTTCGTTCTTTGGATCACACTTTTTTCCTGGGGGTGGGAGCTTTTTATGCCTAAGTTACCCAAGAAGAGACAACAATAGTGGCGATAGAACTAAGAAACAACCATACCCCATAATACCTCACCACTGGGACAGGAGCCATTACCAGCAGCTAGACAGTACACGTGAAACGGGAAGCCTATTTCCAGATCATATCCACCCAAAAGACACTCAACAAGCTTAACAATAAAACAACATACTCAATTTAAGCATCAAAAATCCACATAACTCTGCTTTAAAAGAAGAATAAGGATGGAAATCTCTCACTGCCTGACTTCAAAATTTATTACAAGGCTACAGTAGTCAAAACAGCTTGGTACTGGTACAATGACAGATGCATTGAATAATGGAACAGAATCGAGAATCCAGAAATTAACCCATCAACATACAGCCACCTGATTTTTGACAAAGTACCTAAATATATCACATGGGGATGGGGAGCTGATAGGCTCATCAACAGATGGTGCTGGCAGAACAGGAAAACGATATACAAAAGACTGAAATAAATCGTCACCTCACGCCTTATACAAAACCCAACTCAACATGAATTAAAGACCTAAATGTGAATCCCAGAATTATGAAGGTCATCAATGGAAAAATAGGGACAAATTTGAGGGCACTAATTCATGGAATACACACACTATCAAACATGTTGAAAACTACACACAAAAAAGTAGACAAAAATAGATGATTGGGACAAACTAAAAATTACAAGCTAATGTGCATCAAAAGACTTCACCAACAAGAGTAAAAAGGGAACCCAAAGAATGAGAAAAAAATCTTTTGCTACGACACATCAGACAAGGGACTCACTTCTAAAATATATAGGAAACTACAACAACTCTACAAGAAAAAAACAAATAACCCAAATGAAAAATGGACACAGGACACGAACAGACACTTCACCAA